TTTTTTTTTTTTTTTTTTTTTAACCAACTTCAATAAGTTAATCATTAGTATTCAATGGTAATTTTAACGATTATAAAACTTACTTTTTTAATTTATATTTTGAGTAAATTATATTAAATTATAAAAATAATAGTTTTTTTCAAAACTTTATGTTTATTTTGATTAAGTATTTCTTAATATATTCGACGTTCGTTTATACGAATCTGATTAAATTTATTGCGAAAAGTATTTATTAATATAATTATTAATATATTTAATAATATTTATATTGATGCGCAAATTTAGATAATTAAAATATATTTGATGTATATAGAATAAGTAGAGCGAAACGTAATAGGAGGAAAAAATATTATCACTCTATTAGAAGTCTCGTGTAAATTTTTGATTATTAAAAAATGAGACTTTTTGTTAACAAAAATTTGATAAAAATATTTTGAGATACATTTATATATAAAGTTTATATAATATTTTTTTAAATTGGAAACTATAAATTAATTGTAATAAAATTATATGAAAAAAAAGTTTTAAATACAATATAATACAAAATATGATAATAGATAATATAATTTAATACGATAATAAATATAAATTATAAAGATAAATATTATGAAGATATTATAAAAATGTTTATTGAGTCGATCACGTTTATGTGATTGATCGCAAATTGTTTTGAGAAAAGTTTGGATTTTATATCGTGTGATCTTATTAAAAATTTTTAAATATTAAATTAATTTAAATATTTTAAAAAATCGATAACGATTCGTTTCGTTTACTTTTTATACTTTTACATACGTGCATATTATTAGATATCATTTTTTAACGAATTAAAATTGTGAATTAATAATGAATCATATTGCATTCTTAAATCATTTTTTTAAAAATTAAAATTACATAACGTATCCTTCCTATTTTAATAATATTAATATATTTAAATAATACAAAATGAATACAATATTATAATAAAAAAGATTTAATATATATGTATACATATATGCTTAGTAAATGTATAGTTATGTCAAATATAATAATTTCATGGAAATATGCCTTTAAGTGCAAAGTGGCTTATATTTTCGGTTTCATGAATCGCGTCAGTTTCGGGTAGTTACATTGTTACGGTATGGCTGATGTGGGCCTAAGTTTAGATGACATAATTAAAAAATCAAAATCATCAGGAATGAGAAGCAGAGGTGGAGGGTAAGAAAATTTAAACAATCACTGGTAAATTTAACTATACTGTGATTGTCGTGTTATTGATTTCTTTATAACCTTAAAAAAAATAAGTCTCCAATTATTAAAAAGAACATTTCTTTTTTTTTTATATTACCTACCAATATTTTTAAACATTTTTCATTTCATTCGAAAAATAAACGATATTTTTTTTATAAATTATTTTATTATTATATCAATTCAATAATTTTATCTCAGATTAATAAAAAAATTTGTTTTAAATTGCAAGTTATTCTTAACAGTTTTAAATTATTTGAATAATTTCAAATTTTTTTTCTTAGAAATATTTTTTATATCGTTATAAATCATTATTTATATGTATTTTTTTATTATTTTATTTCAAATATACATTTTATTTTTAATGGAAAAGAATAATTATGATCTGATTGATATATGTTTATTGATATTTAATTGTAATATGTATAATTGTTAATATTTCGGTATAATATTATATTTAAGCAAAAATGAACTAATGAAAAATATAAAAAATAATATAAATAATAAAATATAAAATAAATTATAATATTTTTTGTTATATATTTTTTATATAGCGTTCGAAGAGGTACTAATAGAGGTGCAAGAGCTAATGGTTCGCTAAGAGGACGTGGTTCACAAGTAATTACTGATGCAAGATTTAAAATTATACAAAAAAATCGAGAAAAACTTACAGATGCAAGAGATAAACTTGCTGAAATTGCTAAACAAAGCGATGCTAGATTAAAATTAGATAAGATTCGTGCATCACAGTTTAAAAAAATAGAAGCACAGATACCTGGAATATCTCAGAAAACAGGTCGTAATGGAAGATTATCTTTATCTACTAATAAAATGCCACCAATTATGCCACATAATGTTCCACCAAGTATTTCAAACAATTATATGCCACCACCTTCAAGAGCAGTAGGTTATAGACCACCTCCACTTGCAGAATCTCATTATATGGGAAACATGAATATGGATTTTATCGATGGTACATAAAAAATTGATTTGATACAATCTGTAATCTATAAAATTATTTAATATCTTTATATGTTTTAGATTACATGATGGAAACAGCACCTTTAAGAAGAACTGTGAGTAACGAATATGCTCCTACACCGCCTCCTCCACCTCCAGCTTTCAGTATTAAACCTGCATCATCTTATACATGGGTAAAACCAACAAGCAGTAATGTAATAAGAATCGTACCTTCTCACAAACCTGATGATGATAGAGAACGCGAGAGAGCAAGAGATTATAAAGTTATTGCACGTTTTCCAATGGCAAGTGTTAGATATATCGCATAATTTGTTATTATATAGTTTCTTCAATTTTCAACTTTCAGATTATTCATAATTAATAATTTCAGACAAAACCTGCATCTCCCTCGTATAAAGAAGATTGGAGTTTTGGCACGAAATCGCGGTACTTAAGTTTTTCATCGATTTCTCAAAATTTATTATTTATTTTATTAAATTTTATCATATATAATATTTAAATTTAATATTATTTTTATAGGACTATATTAGCAGAAGACACAGTAGATTCCAAATATTACGATTCAAGAAGTCATAGAGATATTGGAGTAAAGTCAAGATTAGATTCAGTTCCAAGTAAATCGCGAAATATGGATGTTTTATCTCGATCTAAAACAAGTTCCAGTTCATCGTCACAATCTACTGGTTATCGAATTGTCGTATCAAATTTACAAGCAAATGTCACTCAAGAAGATATCAAGGTATAATGATAAAGTATTAAACATATCTAGTTTATCTATCTTAACAATTTCTATATTTTAGGAATTATTCGAGGATGTAGGAGAATTGTTAGTATCTCGTTTAGTACGACCGGGTACAGCGGAAGTAATTTATAAAACATTAAAGGATGCTACTAAAGCTGTTGAAACTTATCATAATAGACAATTAGATGGACATCCTATGAAATGTCTTCTTGTAAATCCACGACCAAAAAATAATCCAACTGGACCAGCTGTTAGATCTCTTACAGAGTATGATTTTTATTTTATTCTTATATTAATTATAATAGAATATCTTATCGCATTTTTTTTTATTAATTATGATTATTCATTTTATTGCTTAATAATTGTGAAATTTAAATATATCATTTACAGATCAAGAAGAAGTGTTAATTCAAGTTATGTACAACCAAGTTTAGGAGCAGTACATCGTGCATTATTCGATGATTCTTAATCAAATATCTTAATCAATTTTGATTCGAAATTGCCATATATAATGGCAAAATTTTATTCCAAATATTTTTAAAAATGAAATAAAAAAAAAAAAAAATAGAAAAAAATGATTAAGAGATCAAATGACAGTAATACATAAAGAAAAGGAGTTTTGAATGGAATTTGTATTTATGGAACATCACATGTATCTTATTTTTAATTTATATATTGCAATTGAATGGAATTAACGTAATAGCAAGTGAATTGAATGTTATTATAAATAGCAAATACAAGAATGCTTAAATGTACATTTAAATGTAGTCAATAAAACAAAAAGCATTTAGGAATTTGTAACATTTCGTTGTTTTGGATTCGCGCTTATGCGAAGTTTTAAAAATTACAAAAAAATGTGTATATTACACTACAGTTGTTACGCTGCGAATGTAAAAAAAATATATGCCAATTCTTTAAAGTCTTTTATAGTGTTGTAATGTTCAATAAATAAAAAAAATTATATGGTTTTTTATAGGATACCGAATAGAAAGGAATTAAGTGTTATTACGAGATAGAATGTATTGACTAAGATAAAGATATTTTATTTACTCGATATAAGATGATCATAATATTATCGTAATTTATAATTATGAGATATAAAAGCTAATATACTGTACATGTTAATGAAATGCACTAATCGTGAGTTCTCTTGGAAATAGGTATTACGTCATGGAAGGAAATTCGAGTAAGTATTTGGAATAGTTGACGATTATAATTCGACATAATAAATGGCACATAAATAATTTTATTTCTGATCACAACTACAATTTCTAAAGAAAAACAAACTCGCGAGGCACGACTCGATTTATACCATTCATAAATCTCCGGTAGATGCTATTAATAATATATGTATATTAACGTTGTGTACCTTTGTTGCCCACGCACATTCACATGAAAAAACCTATACAATTAAGATATACAAAATACAATAAAAAAATTAATTTCAAATAATTTAGTATCTAGTGACATTGCACGCAATCGCTCCTCTTAAATATTCACAAAATTTATTCAATTAGCACTGATTATCAATACTGTAAATCTTACTTCTGTGAAATAATTTAATTTCGTCCTAAGTATTCGTTTTACGAGGTTAAACTTAACAAATTTTGAACTTAATCTTTCACTTGACTATATCTTACGTATAAAAGTCTCCTTTTTTCCCTCCTTCAAGGTATCGTAGTATATAAGAAGAATTTTAGCTTCTACGATGATTGTTCATTTTAGATTTATTTGGCAATCGAAGAACTTCCGCATAAGACATTTCTAAACGT